AGTCACCATGACATTTTATAAAAACAAGATACTGAAGAGAACTGGACAATGAAGATGAAACTACAACAAAGACACAACAAGTGCTAATTTAGTAGAGAAACTGGAATTTAATATAAACAGGTTTGAAGAAACAGCATACTGTAAGAATGTTAACACTGCTGCACACGTTAAGAGACTAGATATAAAACCAGAGAACACTGTGAAGGCAAACATTAACATATATGAACAAAGTGATTCAGAAAAAAATGAAGATGATATTACATGATATTCTCACAATAAAGAAATACTAAGTGGCATTCAGTAAGTATTCATCTGCCAGGCACTGTACAAGTCAAGACTAAGGATGGATCATTTTACACTAGATTCTGTGTGTATGAAATACTAATTGAGCAAATTTCCAGTCTATACCAATTTTACTCTAAAATCTAAAAGGGAAATAAGATACAACAACACAAAACATAAAAACACAGAATTACCATATGAGCCAGTAATTCCACTTCTTGGTTTATAGTCAAAGGAAGTAAATAGGATCTCCAAGAGGTAACTGTATATTCCGATTCGTAACAGTAACATTCACAACATCCAAAAGGCAGAAACAACCCAAGTATCTATACAAATACAAATGTAGTATACATGCACCTTAGAATATTATTCATCTTTTAAAAAGAAAGTCATTCTAATACAGGTTATGGTATGGATGAACCTTATGCAGTATAAGGGGCAAATGCTGTTTCCACTTGTGGTAAGTGCCTAGGGTAGACAAATTCATAAAGATGGAAAGTACAGCTGTGATTGCCAAGGGTGAAGACAGTAGGAGATGTAGAGTTAGTGTTTAACAGGTACAGTTTGAATTTAGGAAAATGAAAAATGTTCTGGAGATGGATGGTGGTGATGGTTGCACAAAAATGTACTAATGCCCTTAATTTGTGCGTGTGTGTGTTGTGTGTGTCTCCCCCCATGGGGATTGAACTCAGGACCTTGTGCTTGCCAGGATGTAGGGCCACTGAGCTACATCCCTGGAACAATGCCACGTATTTTGTACATTGTTTTATTTTTTGAGACAGGGTCTCACTGGGTAGCCCAGACTTGTCTTGAATGCACTATGCAGCCAGAGCTGGCCTCAAACTCATGGCCATCCTCCTGCCTCAGCCTCCCAAGTGCTGGGATTACAGATGTGCACCACTTTGCCCAACTACTTACTTAACTTGTACATTTAAAATGTGGGGCCTGGGATTTAGCTCAGTGGTTCTGCTGCTTGCCTTGCAGGCGAGGTCTTGAGTTCAAACCCCGGTACAAAAAAAAGGTTAAAATGCGCCAGGGAAAGGGCCAGGGATTCAGCTCAGCAGTTCGGTGGCCAGTTTTGCAAGCGCAAGGACCCGAGTTCAATCCCCGGTACCAGAAAAAAAAAAAAAAAAAAAAAAAAAAAAAGTGCCAGGGATTTAGCTCAGTGGTGCTGCTACTTGCCTCACAAACACAAGGTCCCGAGTTCAACCCCTGGTAAAAAAAAAAAAACAAAAAAAAGGTTAAAATGGGGGCTAGAGATTCAGCTTAGTGGCCGTTGGCACAAGGTCCTGAGTTTGATATCCAGTACCACAATAAATAAAGTTAAAATGATAAGTTTTACTCAGCTACAATAATAAAAGGGAAGAAAAAAGGCAACAGTATTTTTTAGGCATACAAGCCAAAAAATTCACCCCAGGATAGCACAATACTTCATGTTTTAATATCAGAGAAATAAAGACCATCACAACTCTGAGCTATAAAATAACTTCCAATAAATTTAAAAGGACTTGAATCATATAAAAATATTTTTCTGCTCAGAAATGCTAACTATAAATATAAATAAATAATTTTCCTAATATTAGATCTATTTAAAAGCTAGTTTCTTTTGAACATAAAAATTTTTAAAAAGCATCAATTGATGAATGGACTAAGTAAATATGGTATGGACGGGGTGTGGGCATGTAGGTGTACTATGCAATATATGTTGACTATTATTTAACCTTTGAAAAGGAAACCCTGCAATTCACAACATGACACAGTAGATAAACCTGGAGGACACTACACTAAGTGAAGTATTCGCTAGACAGAGAGAGAGAACTACTGAATGATCTCTTCTAAGGTAGAACTTTAAAAAGTCAAGTTCACAAAAGCAGAAAATGGAATATTGGTTGTCAGATACTGCGAAGTAGAGAAAATAGGAAACTGCTGGTCAAAAAGAAAGTTTCAATTAGGCAGGATGAATAAATTCTGGAGATTTCATGTACAACATGGTGACTGTTACACTCAATCACATGGTAATGTCTACTTGAAATTTACTAATAGAATAGATCTTAAATATTCTTACCATACCAAAAAAGATAACTATGTAAGGCAATGAATACATTATTGGCCTTATAGCAGTAATCATTCCGCAAAGTACTATATACATATATATCAAGACATCACCAAGTCAATAACCTTGGCTTTTGCCTTAAGCAAATATAGTATGTCATCAAACTAATTCCAAAGTAAACAACAATAAAAAAGTAATGAAAATCAATGCAACAGAAAACTAATAACCAAGGGACAGGTGTAATGCCCATGCACATCCCAGCACTCAAATGCCTAAGGCAGGTAGATCCTGCATTCAAGGCCAACCTGGGCTACATAGCAAGACCCCTGCCTCAAAAAATACCCAAACAAAAACAAAATGCTGTTTTTTTTGGATCAATGGAATTGTTAAACATGTAAGTTAAAGGAGACAGAAGACACAATTACAAATATCAAAAATAAATAATATGACATGATACAGATTTCACAGATATTAAAAGGACATGGAATTGTTATAAACAGCTTTATGTTAGTAGACAGAAATCTGATAGCTTAGTTGAAATAACTGAATTCCTGGAAAGACAAAAAGCTTACTCAAGGATAAACAGATAATTAGGTAAAACTCATATCTACTAAAGATATTAAATACGCACTTAAAATAAAAACCTTTTCACTGAAAACTCCTGGTCCAAATGGAATACCGCCCAACATAGTCCATAAAATTAGTATAACACACAAACCAAAATAAAAAACATTACCAAAATACCAAAAAGGGTAAAGAAAACTATAACCAATAATGCTCAAGAGAATGTAAGAAAAATTCTTAAATTAAGACTGACAATCTATGAAATTGATATACCTAATATATCACACTCAAATTTATCCCAGAAAGCAAGCACAGTTTAACAGTTAAATTACAACAAATAAAGAAATTTAATTAACTATATTAACAGACTAAAACAAAATATGTTTACCAGGAACACAAAAAGCACTTGATGAAGTCCATCACCCATTCCTGATGAGAACTCTCAGTAAACTAAGACTACAGAGAGCAGCTGCTTAGGAAAACAAGATAGCAGTTTCTGAAAGTTAAACACTTGCCAGGGGAACCATTCCCTCTCCTCAGAGAGCAAAGCATTCATCATGCAAAGTTCTGCATACAAATGTTCACATGAGGCTTTATTTGTAATAGCCGAAACATAAAAACAAACCAAATTTCCAAAACCATGTGGATATATAAAATACCTGACAACTGAAACCACTCAGCAATAAATTAGAATGAACTCTTTCTACATTCAACACAGATGTACTCAAAAATAATTATACTGAGTGAAAGAAGCCAGGCCAAAAAGAAAAGTGTTTATTGCATGATCCCATTTTTACAATCTAGAAAATATAATCTATGATGACAGAAAGCCTGAGGACAGGGGACTGGAGGAAGGGCAGGGTTACCAGGGAGCACATACTCATCTGCAATATGCTGAAGGTCCCACGGGTGGGTGTTTGTGTGTTTGTTAAACTTCATTAAAACTATAAGCTATAATTATGTTCAATTCATTTTGCCTCAAAAGCTATTAGAAGAGTAGGACAGTGACAAGGAGTGTGAATGCACAGCTACATAAGTGCACATGCCATTAAACTGTACACTTAAAAGTGACTTAGACCGAGCATGGTGGCACATGCCTGTAATCCCAGCACTCAGGAGGCTGAGGCAGGAGGATCACTGTGAGTTTGAGACCAGCCTGAGCTACATAGTGAATTCCAGGTCAGTCTCAACTACATAGTGAGACCCTGTCTCAAAAAACAAACAAACAAACAAACAAGTGACTTGGTAGGGGCCGAGATGTAGCTCAGTGGTTCTGCCACCTGCCTCACAAGCGCAAGGACCCCCAAGTTCAGTTCCCAGTACCAAAAGAAAGAAAAAAAAGACTTAAGTAAATTTTGTTACATTTTATTACAAGTTTTACGAAAGACTTGGGGGGCTGGTACTGGAGACTGAACTCAGGACCTTGCACTTGTGAGGCAAGTGCAGTGCCACTGAGCTAAATCCCTACCCTACAAGAGACTTTTAAAAACTGATAGGATTTGTGAGCTCAAACTGAAGGTAAAAGTGATGATAATGACAATTAGTAAGAACATCAGTAAGGGGACCATATTTCCAAGCTATTCTCAGTCATTACCACATTGTTTTGTCAGTCATGAACCAAACATACAACAGCAGTCCCATAAGACAGAACTGAAAAATTCCTATCACTGAGCAATACTGTAATGCTCTAGCACAATGCAGTCCTCATGCTGGGATCTAATGCACGTCCAGTAATGTAAAAGGAGTGCACATACATTATGTATATTACGTTCTACTTGATTATGATGATACACAACTGTTACTAGTTTATGTATTTACTGCATTATAGCTTTGTCTTATTAGAGTGTATTCCTTTACTTATTAAAACAGTACAACATTACACCAGCAGCAGCCTCATACATCTTATGTATATCTATGACTGCTTCAAGTGGCTGGCTTATAACATCTAGGTTTGTGTAGGAACACTATGACTCTGCAAAACAAAACTGCTGAAGGACAGATTTCTTAGAATGAATCTGCATTTAGCAGTAAGCAGCCATACCTTTCAGATATACAGTGCTTTTGATTAAATGTGAATTTAGAGTTTCTTATAGGGTATTACCTGTGAGATATGATTGATGGAAGACTCCATTCTCCGAAGCTGAGAAGCTTGGATGTCCAGCAATTGGAGTACATTGTTGGCCAATGCATTTATTTGATAAGCAACACTAGCTAGAGACTGGGTTGTATATGCTTTGGTCTCTTCTAAAGCTTTTCTCTTGTCTGTAGCCTGAAATAAAAACAAAAACAATGAACATTTACTTAGACTAGCATGCATTAAACATATGTTCCATAAAAATACAAACTTAAAATCATTTATTTCTATTAAAAAATCACAATTCAATCAAAAAACTTAATGCATCAATCTGATAAGAGATTACGTTTATAGACTGATAACTAATTTTAATACTGAACTTGCAATCCTGCAACTGTGCTAAATTCACTTATTATCTTTAATCAACTTTTGTGGCCTCAGAAATATTCTACATATACAATCGTGCTGTCTAACGAGTAAAAATTATTTTACTTTTTCCTTTCCACTATGGCATCTTCTGTTTCTTTTTGTTGCTCTGTTGCACTGACTAGGAACTCTAGTACAATACTGAACAGAAGGAGTTGTTTCCAGCTTTAGAGGAAAAGTATTCAGCATATTAATATTAAACCACAGAAAACAGGTTTTCCACGGGTATTTTAAGAACCTACAGAACTACCATTTTATTCTTAGTTTGTTTAAAAACCTAAATGGGGGAGAGGGATTTAGTTTGCTTCACAAGCGCAAGGTCCCAAGTTCGATCACTGATACAAAAACAAAACAAACGAACACCTAGATGGACTCAGTCTTGAGCAAGTCTAGGTTATTTTCAGGCATCTATAACATCTGACTAATCTGCAGTCTTCGGAGTACAGTTGTACACATCTTTTCCCAGGAGAGTGGGAGGAAGTCGCTGCTCTGAACTGAGATCTATTTCCACTTTCCCCTCAGGCACAACGTTCCCCTCTCTCCAGCTTCCCTTACGACATGACCTTACGACATGGAACTCAATACTGTTGATGAAATGTTAGTGGAAATGGTACCATTTTCCAGGTCTGGACATAAAAATTGGCCACTCATGTCCCAACGCAATAAAGTAAAACATGGCCCTAACAAAATAAAGTTGTGCTTAACACAAAACAGTATTTTACAATGCTTAACCTTTTTTTCCAGCACCAGGAATCAAACTCAGAACCTTGCACTTGCCAGGCAGTTGTGGTACCACTGAGCTACATCCTTGGTCCATTGCTTCTATTTTTAAACTTAAAATACCTAAGGTTTAACTTTAAAATTCATTTTCCCTGTCTTGCACTATTTCAGGTGCTCAATAGGAACATGTGGATTGTACCACCATGTTATTCAAAGTGTTGTTCTAATTAGTCATTAATTTCTTCTAAAGATTATGAATCTGAAATTCAAACCTGCACAAAATTACTGTTACAAATTTACTTCAAGTTTATAAATTCAGAGGCCAGGTGTGGTGGCTCACGCCTGTAATCCCAGCACTCCGGAGGCTGAGGCAGGAGGATCCCTATAAATTCGAGACCAGCCTGGACTACATAGTGAGTTCCAGGTCAGTCTCAACTACATAGTGAGACCCTGTCTCCAAAAACCAAAAAAAAAAAAGTATATAAATTCAATATGCAAGTTAAGTCTTCCTTTCTTAAGATACTTGGTATTTGTATCAGATAAGGGTTCTAGGGGGTCACGCAAATGGATTACAAATTAGAAGACAAAGAGCCAGCATTTCTTCAAGAAACTAAAACAGATGTTAATTGTACCACTCTTCCCTGCAAGGTCTACATACTCTTAACTAATTGCCCTAGGATTACATGTGACAATGAAAGCCATTTGCTACACCCCCGTCTTACACCACTGAAGAAGTTTGCTTAAAATGGAATCAAACATATTCAGCTTTTAATGGAAGGTTATATTTAAAATAGCAAAAGGGCCAGGGATTTGGCTCAGTGGTTCTGGAGCCTGCCTCGCAAGCACAAGGACCCGAATTCGATCCCTGGTACCAAAAAAAAAAAAAAAAGTAAAATAGCTAAACAGTGAATCCAAAACTAAACAGAAAGTTCCTCAGATGACTGAACTTTATGAATGGCTTACACATAAAACTTTCTTTTTCCATCGGGGATTTAGCTCAGTGGTACCACCAACTGCCTCGCAAGCACAAGGATGTGAGTTTGATCCTGGTAAACGCCCCCCCCAAAAAAAAACCTCTCTTCTTTCTCCTTATCAACCTGTGGAAATCATGCTTTACTAGATCAGAATCTGCTAGCTAGAGGAGAAAATCTTGTCAAATGATAAATGACAAGTCCCCCAAGTGGGACCGCTGCCTAACCAGAAGGAAACCCTCCCCCAAGCAGACCCACTACCCACATCCACAGGAGCACAGAGATAACAGAAAGCCAGCAGCTGCCCCGCTGCTCCTACCAACACCCTGTTTATCACGCAGCCCCAGGCCCACACCACCCATGGGACTCTAAATTCTTCCACTCTGCCACCCAGGGCCCTCTCTCCTCCCTAACCTCCCCTATAACAACCATGTCCATCATCCTCTCAGGGCCAATGGTCTTTTCACCCTTTATCCATCTGCGCTCAGACAGCAATAAGCTCACTGCACGTTGCTTGAACTATGCCTGCCTCGGTGGTCTCAATCATGCCTTGGTCTGACCTTACAATCATGGGACATCTTTCTTTTCTTGCCCCTGAAAGTAGTAATCTCTTCTTTCTGCTGCCTGAAATAGAAATTACTAGCCATAAGCAACCAATCCCCCCCATCTCTCACCTCTGTGTCTTTCAATCTCTCTCAATCTGGTGTACCCTAATACATCTATTTTAAATGCCCCTCCTGTCCTCCACACTCAACCTTCACCTACTACAATAGGAATAATATTTCTCCCTTTTTTATACCATCCCCAGAAAGAAAGAGAATGTCTTAAGGACTATTATCAAGGATATATAAAGAACTCAAAACAATCAGCGCCCCCAAATATAAAGACCCGATTCAAAAATGGGCATCCGAAATGAACAGACATTTCTCAGACAAAGAAGTAAAAGCAGCAAGAAAATATTTGAAAAAATGTTCCCCATCACTAGTCATTCGAGAGATGCAGATGAAAACAACACTGAGATTCCACCTCACCCCACAAAGAATGGCTGCTATCAAGAAATCACACAATAACAAATGTTGGCAGGGTTGTGGGGAGAAAGGAACCCTTCTCCATTGTTGGTGGGAGTGCAGACTGGTGCAACCACTATGGAAATCAATATGGAGATACCTCAAAGAGCTTGGACTGAAGGTTCCATTTGACCCAGCCATCCCTCTGCTGGGTATCTTTCCAAGAGAACTAAAAGAATCATATCACAGAGAAGTATGTGCACCCATGTTTATAGCAGCACAGTTTGTAATAGCTAAATCTTTGAAACAGCCCATTTGCCCATCTGTTGGAAACTGGATAAAGAAGATGTGGTTTTTCTATGAAATGGAATATTACTCAGCCATAAAGAATGAGAAAATATTCATTCATAGGAAAATGGATACATATTGAAGATATACTCCCAAGTGAAATAAATAAGGCACACATGTGCAAACACCGAATAGTTTCCCTGGTGTGAATAATCTGCAATAATACAGAAGATCCTAATAAGATTACTGACATTTAGAAATGGGAAGAAAGTAGCTAAAGGTGTAGGGAAGGTGGGATGGGTAGGGGAAGAGTAAAAAGGGAAAAGAAAAAAATGTGAGAGAATGAAAAGATGAAAATAAAGTGTTTGTAGATCGGGAGGGGAGGAGGGGGTGAAGGGAGGGCAGGGGTAAGGGGAAAAAATGAGAATCAAGACTTGTCATGTAGAGGTACAAGATCCCAATGATGAATGTAACTGTACTGTACCCCTAAAATGTACCAATAAACTCAATTAAACCTGAAAAAAAAAAAAAAAAAAACAAAGAGAATGTCTTGGTCAAAACTATGCCTAGAAATTAAAACAATTTAAGTAAAAACAAATGCTACATGCTTTTCAAATTCTTTCCTGTTTCTGATTTTGAAAGTATTAATTACAGAAAAAAGGCAAATAAAAATATGCATCATGGTCCAATCATTCAAACAGGCCATGCTAAGATTTTAATGCATGTTCATCAAGTTATTCCACATGTATGTATACATAAAAAACGACTATAGAGCCCATAGCCCATTCTTCAGCCAATAGTGTATGAGCACCACGACCCTTTTCCCATGTGCTATGCTTCCCTACTATCCTTTTCAAAAGTTAATTTTCAGTAGCTTCATGATTATGGCAGTGACCCTTAGATATCTACTCTTATCGTTTTAATTCCCATTTCAATCATATTTCTCATTTGATTTTAACCATGACATCAAAGTATTGGGTTCTGTTAAAAAAAAAAATTAACATACAGCTTCCTCTAAATGACCAAAAGAAAGACAGCACTATTTCAAGTTATCAAAATTCAGATAGAAATGAGTAAATTATAAATATCTCCCATTTCCCTGTATTTATAGTATAATAAAGTATAAATATAACCGAATGTTATTATCCTTCAACTTCAGTAAGTATAGGTTTATAAATTCACATTTTACTTGGTTTTATACTGTTTGCAAAGGTTTGAATCTCAAAGCCATCAAAATTTAGTTTCATATCGGGAGTAGTGGCACACACCTGCAATCCCAGCACTTGGGAGGCTGAGGCAGGAGTATCCCTGCAAGTTTGAGGCCAGCCTGGGCTACAAAGTGTGTGCAAGGCCAGCCTGAACTGCAGAGCAAGACCCTGTCTCAAAAAAAAGTTTCACTTATTTTGTGATGAATCCAGAATCTTCTTTTAAAAATAAGATATAATTGATAAGATATTTTGGTATGAAAGGAAACAGAAGAACACCAGGATCATTTTGCTGTACCTCTAAATGAGAGAGAAATTAGAGACACAATCTTTTTCACAACAGCATCCAAAAAAATTTAATACCTATGAATCAATCCAACAAAGGAAGTAAAAGACCTCTACATAGAAAACAACAGTACTCTGAAAAAAGGAGATTGAAAAGGATATCAGAAGCTGGGCGTAGTGGCACACACTTGTAATCCCAGTACTTGGGAGGCTGAGGCAGGAGGATCAATTTGAGTTTGAGACCAGCCTGCACTACATAATGAGTTCCAAGTCAGTCTCAACTACATAGTGAG